TGTGAATGCAAATAGTGGAATACAAGCTATGGGGCTCAGTTCCAGTAAATACAGAGAATATTTTGTCATTCTTAACGCGTCCTACAAAATTCATCGAGACAGCTAGTCCGTGAATTTGTGAACAAGATCGGAGATCTAAAGATGCAATCTCTACCGTGGATTAATGGATCTCAATAGAGATTCTTAAATAATATATAAGTTAGAAAGGCAAATGGGAAAAACCCATAAAAAAGCAAACGGCCATATAATGCAAAACAGTTTAAAATTAAAACGGAACAGTAGAGAAAATCCGATCAGAATGACAATAAACTAAGCATCCACTGGAAGGAATATATATATATATATATGTACATATATATTTATATATATACATATATAACAACAAAGAATTCTCAATAAAAATTTAAATATTTCAGTCTTGAACACAGTATACAGTAATGCGGAACTAAACAAATGCAGGTAAATGTATGAATTAGGGCAATAAAATAATTTAGCAAGTCACTTTGAAGTTTCCAAGCCCTTTCAACAATCCCTGTAAACGGAAGTTCTTATCAAACTTCAACAGCTTCAACAAAACCAGTGTTAGGACCCTGAAAACCAAGGAATACTAACTGGAAGCAAGTGTCCTAACCACCAAGCTATAAGGAAACAAGGAATATTTATCAACATTACAAAATGATGCAGTCAAAACTTGGTCAAGGTCTAATATCAGTGGGTTGATAGATAAAAATTAATATGTTATATTACAGATATTAAACAAACTAAACATCAAACATACAAACCAAAAAAATTAATACAACATGATGCCGTGAAATCTTGGTCAAGGTGTTAAACAACAGTGAGTTAATAGTGCTATATTCTGTAAATTAAAGCCTCAAACCACCGCGATTTTGAGTCTACTAAATTCAAAAATCTTTCCAGGCTTTTCCAGATATAGCTAGAACTTAATCTTTGGCGTTTTTTTTTTAATTATACCAGATTATTTTTTTTTAGATTTCAGTGGGTTAACCGACTTAAAGACTTGCTTGCGTACAAACCAAACGTTTTTCTTATAACGTTCTTCAAAGGAGTATACAATTTTTATTATATTTTGTAATTCAAAATCACCATAAAGCAAAAACTTATTATTTTAACTATTAACACTACTTTTGAAATTAATTATTATTTTAACGAATTCTATGAAAACAAACTTGGTTCTTTATTAGGGTTGCTAACTTTGTTGTAGACCTAGAGCTTAAAACGTACAAACATACTCAAAAGGTGGAATTTCAATTTCATCTAAAAATTGAGAAATAACCACCGAGCACTGAGAGACTGCAAATGAACACGGTATCGAAAGAAGAGTAACGACAGGAATGGTATGTGAATTTCAAAACAGTATTGGAAGTGGAAAAAGAATTAAAAAACAATACTAGAAAATTGAGAAAATATCTATCTAAAAATATAATACTGTATGACAGCCAGTAACAAGTTTTCCAGGCCTCTACAGTATATCCAGTGGGTGGGGTGTGCTATGGGTCCGCATTTTCATGACAGACAAGAGCGTACCAGGACTAAATATAAAATTTGTGATTTAAAAAAAAATGTAATTTTTACATTTTAACCAGTAAAGTATCTATTGGAGATTGGGTAATACTATAAAGCCCTTGAAACCCCCGGAATACATAAACTTCATTCAACAAGCACTGAATACGTAGCAGTATTTTTGCTCTCTTATGGGCAGTGGCGGCTGTAGGATATATTTTCTGGGGGGGCTAAGTTGTCCGACAAGGGGGACTTGAGCTCGTAGGCTCGAGCTGGAGGAAGGGATTGAGAGGGGTTCCTCCTCCCAAATGAGATTTTTTTAAAGAATATCAACATCTGGATGGCCAAAAATGGCACTCTAAGACTGTGACAGTCATGTGTTGGCTTGGTGTGGGCCTATTTTTATATGTTTTATGGTCTGACTGCCCGACGAGCTCTGTCCGGCGGGGGGACTTGACCTGTCTGGTGGGGGACTTAAGCCCCCCCCCCTTGCCACCCCGCTGGCGCCGCCACTGCTTATGGGAGTAATCCTTGCCCGGCAAACAAAAAAAATGATGGGGCCTGTCCCAAATTTTAGGGAGCTTTCGAATGCACGACAACGGTAGGACATAGAACGTAATGACGTCACTAAAAGTCATCTGCGCATGCAACAATATTGAGTTTTCGCGGTCACGTTGAATCTAGGACACAATTTGGCCAAATCTACGCATGCAGAGAACACCCGAAAGGACAGTCACGCATGCGTGATTCCGTTATAGCATTGCATCATTGCTCAAAAAGCGAAAGCTTCCTATTGGTGCCCAACTTAAGGAATTTCCTGCAGGAAGTCAAATTCCCTAGCTGTTCCCGACGGATCTTGTATGTATATTAGTTCCAATCGGAGGTATTTTTAGCTTGTAGTAAAATCATTCAAATTAGTATCTTAGTGCCGCCGCCACTACATTTTTCTCCTCCCAGTGACATAGGTATGGGCACTGCAGCTTGTGCTAAGCTTTTGGGTCCGGGGCTATTAGTGGCCCCTTTCAAAAGTCCTCTACAATTTATAAAAAAAAAAAAAAAAAAAACGTTTCATATTTTAATTTTAATAGAAAAAATGAACAGCCAACAACTCAAGAGATTTTAAAGGTGATATTTATCAATTATTGTGTTCACTGCATTTGTGTATTCTCTGATTTATTCTTAACAAAAACTGAAAAAGTTAATCAGTGCCTACATTTTTTAAAATTTAATCAAATGTGGCTGGCGTAAAGCTAAAACGTCAGAGCTTCCAGGGTCTTGGAGAGAGGAAAAGGAGAGTGTCTGCCATTAATAATTATCAAGTTCCTCTAATCCCTGGTTATAAAGGAGGTTAAGTTGTTTGCACATTAAGGAGTGGCTTGATTGCATTTACCACAAGATTGGAGTTTTGTTTTCGCATTATTGCATCCACCTTTGCCAGGGCAGAGGCGGATGTTTGACCTCAAAAGACCGTTGCACTGCTTGCCACCACACCTTGCTATTACTTTATTTATTATACTTTTGTTTTTAAATCTTTTTTTAGTTGTTGTTAAGCCAGTTTCTTGCAACATGTACTATATACATAGCAATTTATTATTATTATTATTATTATTATTATTATTATTTGTATTTATCTTATTTGTATTCTTTTTATTTTGTCAATTATTCATTTTGTTTTATTTTTATATTTTTAACTGACAGAATATACAAGAAGTAATGAATGCCTGAACTAATATTCTGAGCATTTCATATCACTTTCTATACAAAAGAGATATCATAAATAAATCACAAATTTTGTTACCCGACATCTGTGTGCATTGAAAATACGACAAAATTGCATCACAACCGCAACTGTAACTTGGGCTAGTGATGCCTCGGTTGACACTTTATATCAAAGGGCCTGGTAAATTAATATTGCACAAGGGCCTGTCACCGTCTAGCTATGCCGTTGCTGCTGCCTCTTCATCTTCATCATCATTATTAAGTTTCCATAATAAAACAGGGAAAACTAAGAATTCAAGATTGTATTCATTCATTATTAGACATCTAAGTTCCCTTTCCCTTAATCAAAACCCCCACCCCTTCACAAGTAAATTTTGTTATAAATGAAAAAGTTATTAACTGGCTTTATATAGCAGTTATGATGCTGATAACTGGTGATATAGCTTAGAATAGAAGTGGCTGCTCTGTTATATATCTGTCTCTTATACACATCTAGATGTGTATAAGAGACAAGTATATTTTCGCAACTGTGGTACATAATTAACTAGTAAATATGAACTAATGAAGTATGTGTGTGTCCATTTTATGCACAAGAAAAGGATTTGAAAGCTATATAATATGATAATGCTGAAAACAGGGTATTCACTTGCACTTTAGCTTTTTTAAGTATTATGTAATTGTTAGTGGTGTTACTGTACATATTAATTTTCCTATACATCACCATGAATTTATTATATTTAATACATTATTCTAAGGTACATGACCAGTTTTCAGCATCGTAACTCCTATTTACAGCCAGTTAAGTGTTTTTCATTCGTATAAAAATCCAATGGTTAATGCATAGTATAGACACCATGCCCACATTACATATTTTTTGGAACCATAACTTAGCAAAGACTGGATGATGTTATAATTTTATCTATACATGTATTTTAACATAAGATTTAATTTCGCTAATTTATATTTATGTTAATTCAGTTTTAACGGGATAGAAAATCTATCATCACATGTTTAAAAATATATTTTGGCTTAAATTCAATGTTGATCTTTGGTTGATGACCTTTTGACCTCCTGTGACATAATTTATTATTCTACACTTTGATACTAAAAACAAGAAAATATATTTAGATGGTAAAAAATTGTGGGCATAAATGTTATCCCCACCGCATCAATCACCAAATTCTAATGCTGTACAAAAACAGGTACCTATCTTTGATGTTGGTTTACAGGCACTGGCAACCACAAGGCATTTTCTGAAGCTTAGACAAAAAGGTAACTAAAAAAATATGACAACAGGTATAAAGCAGGGGATGCACATTTTCAGTACCTGGACCCTGGACTACCATTACTAGTTCCTTTAGTACCTGGATATACGAGGTTAAGTTGTTTGCACTATAAGGAGTGGAGCTTGATTGCATTTACCAGAAAGACTGGAGTTTCGTTTTCGCATTATTGCATCCGCCTTTACCAGAGCAGAGGCGGATGTTTGACCTCAAGAGACCATGCACTGCTTGCCACCACCCCTTGCTAATATTACTTTAATTATTATACTTTTGTTTTTAAATCCTTTTTAGTTGTTGTTAAGCGCATAGAGGCAGTTTCTTGCAACATACGGTATATAAATAGCCATTTATTATTAATTATTATTATTATTATTAGTGTGGTGTTTTTTTTTTTTACTAGTTTTGTATTCTTTACTTTGTTTTTGTATTACTTACTTGTATTCTTTTCATTATTTTATTATCCATTTTTTTTAATTTTTATATTTTTAACTGACAAAATATAACAGAAGTGAATGAATGCATGAACTGATATTTTGTAGGTTTCATATCACTTTCTATATAAACTTTGTTGCCCGACATCTGTGTGTATTGAATGTATAATATTGTCTTGTTCATATTATAATTTTCTTTGACACAAGAATTATTGTATGCACATATGTGGTCATGATGTGCCTATATATAGTCATGATGTGCCTATATATGGTCATGATGTGCCTATATATGGTCATGATGTACCTATATATGGTTATGATGTGCCTATATATGGTCATGATGTGCCTATATATGGTTATGATGTGCCTATATATGGTCATGATGTGCCTATATATGGTCATGATGTGCCTATATATGGTCATGATGTGCCTATATATGGTAATGATGTGCCTATATATGGTCATGATGTGCCTATATATGGTGATGATGTGCCTATATATGGTCATGATGTGCCTATATATGGTCATGATGTGCCTATATATGGTGATGATGTGCCTATATATGGTCATGATGTGCCTATATATGGTCATGATGTGCCTATATATGGTCATGCTGTGCCTATATATGGTCATGATGTGCCTATATATGGTCATGATGTGCCTATATATGGTCATGATGTGCCTATATATGGTCATGATGTGCCTATATATGGTCATGCTGTGCCTATATATGGTCATGATGTGCCTATATATGGTCATGATGTGCCTATATATGGTCATGATGTGCCTATATATGGTCATGCTGTGCCTATATATGGTGATGATGTGCCTATATATGGTCATGATGTGCCTATATATGGTCATGCTGTGACTATATATGGTGATGATGTGCCTATATATGGTCATGATGTGCCTATATATGGTCATGCTGTGCCTATATATGGTCATGCTGTGCCTATATATGGTCATGATGTGATGTCATCATAACCATATTTAGGCATGTTACATGATTTTTGTCAAATAAAATTTGATATTCTGGATTTTTAAATAAAAAAATTACAAAAAAAAAAACAAAAACATGAGAATACACAAATAAAAGGGGATTGAGATAACCAACTAAAAATTTTACTTGAATAAAAAAATTGTGTAAAAGCAAACAAATATTAAAACTCACAGAGTGAACTTGAAAGCTGTTGTTTGTTTCACGGTGATCAAGATCATCACAAAGGCAAGCTACAAATAGTGCAAGTATTTCAATTTCCCTATGAAAATAAAAATAAACAATTCAATGGCATGAGCCGTTACTGGGGTCGGAAATGGGGGAGGGGGAGTGAGAGGAGTTAACAACTTAAGCTTTGTCTACACTATCAAATTTTATGTGACAAAAAATGTGATGTGCCCATATATGGTAATGATGATGTCATATCTCATATCATCAAATTGTATCAAAAAAAGTTGATCATGTTCAACTCTATGTTTCATCACATTTTTATGTGACAATTTTTTGTGGAATTTGACAGTATAGACAAAGATTAAGACTGACAATACAAGCACAAAATTCTGCTATCTGTCACTAGCCTCGAGCGAGGTAAAATCTTCTGTTTGTTTGAATCAAAATCAGAATGGCGCTGCTACCAGTTGACCAAGGTAAAGTTAGTTGAACTTTCTCTTTCCCAAAATTACAAGCACTCCTGGACATCTCGAGGCACAAGCATAGCTGGGCAGATCAAGCTTTAAGCGCTGCAGAACCAAGGCTCTGGTATAATTTACTTTGAACATTAAGCAACCACCTTCACTTGATAATTAATAATTATGTTAAAAATAATTAATATTTATTTAATAATTAATAATACCAGTAAATTTATAATTATGTTAAAAATAATTAATAATTATTTAATAAATAATAATAATAAATTAATAATTGTTAACAATTATTAATGTTTATTAGTCCATACTTGAGAGCATTCAAGCTGTTAATATTCTCGTAGAGCAAATAGCAGAAGTGGCCAACAGTGAAGGCATGATACAAGTTGTGGTAAGGGGGTCGTGGTACCCCTTCTTCACCATCAGAAAGAAGTTTGTTAAGGTTCTCCTATCTATTCTGTAGCTATGCAATAGGCCCATGTCATCAAACATACTCAAACAAACCTATGTTAAAGTGTAGAATAAAATATTTTATTTACAATTTTTACCAAAATTGATGAATAATAATAATAGTGTAGTTTTACATAGCGCACATATCCATCTAATGTAAGATGCTCAGGGCGCTTGATATGTGGACTAGGAACTCGATCAATGACTTTCTTCGCCCCTAAGGGTCCCTTCGTGTCTGTGCTACTCGGTAACCCAGTACCAGCAACTGTCGTCGTCCACTACAGGGGCTGTCTCTGCCAGTACACCGGGGTATCCCCCTACTTGTCTCGAAGGATGTACTGGGTTCTTTATAGTGCGAATGAGTCATTGTATACACTGGGTATACGGTTGATAGTCCTTATCCGAGAAGACTTGTTCTACCACCAGAACCATGATAGACGAGCGTGCCGTTCGAACCAGCGCCGATATTATGCCTATAGCTTGCGGCGCCCCTGCTAACCCTCGGCCATTGTTGTGCAGCCCAAGAGTATAAACTCTTTGGTATAAATGGAAGCTGCGTGACGTAGTAAAGTTGGTTCCTTGCAGGGTTGCCAGATTGTCGACAGGCTTCAAACACACGCCATCTCTCACGGCCAAATTCGGCCAAACTTTTTTCGATATCGGCCAAAATTCGGCCAGATTTTAATCCGATAAAGACAACAGTGAAATTTGAAATACTACAAAAATTATACGAAAATCAGTGGTCATTCGTTTGAAATTGAAGAAATGCAAATAATATACACAGAACAATGTTTAAAATAAATAGCCTATGTTCTTTAGTTGCTGGCATGCAGGCCATAGATGTGTATAAGAGACAGTTATTAGTCCATACTTGAGAGCATTCAAGCTGTTAATATTCTCGTAGAGCAAATAGCAGAAGTGGCCAACAGTGAAGGCATGATACAAGTTGTGGTAAGGGGGTCGTGGATACACAGAACAATGTCAAAAATCAATAACCTTTGTTCTTTAGTTGCTGGCATGCAGGCCAATTCAGGGGAAAATCCAGAGATGTCCGAAAGGGGGAAGGCCGAGGCCGATAAAAAGGGGGGGGGGGGCGAAAGTGGGTCCGATCGAGATAACACCATCTTAAAGGAAATTGTCTTTTCTAGACGCCCGAAAATAACATGATGCGTTTGGGCGATAAATTTTTTTTAAATTTTTTTTACCATCACTTCCCCTTAAATCCACCTCTGCTATTTAAAATCACAATATTAAGATTGATCTACATTTGATTTAAATGTATTAAATATTAATGTACATTGTAGTCGATTTATAGCAAAAATTTTAAAGGCTTGTTATTGGCAAATCCGTGGCTCTTTAATTAGAATGAATTAAGTTACATAGTTTAGTTAACACAAACTGGCGTTAAAACAAACCCATGAACATTTTAATAAATACTTTTTAT